CAGGAAAAAAGTGGAAACAGATCACGTAGACCTTTTGCGACCCACAACACAGAAGACAAGTCGAGAGGGGAAGATGGTCAACCCAAAACCAGTGTGATGGGTTGTGGGATTAGTTCACTTGATCTCCAAAACACCACCTGCTGGGTATTAACATACATAAGAGGGTAGGAGGAGGGCACCCAATCAGAGGGGTGAACTACATTTTGGCGTCTCAACTCCACGAAATAGTTATTTATCCGGAGAATCTTGTAACTACCTCTAGACTGACAGAACACTACCGCCCTACTCTGAACTGAATGGTTATAGCCATCTTTGTGGAACCCATCCTCCATGGTCAACCACCCCAGTGGCTTGTAAGTGGTAAGGACTCCCATACCCCACTGGAAGAAAAGAGGGAGAAAGTGCAGTGGAGAGTCCAGAGGGACTGCAACACCTGAAACAGTGCAATGGGTTATCACGAAACCCTATTTTGAAAAGCAGACCACACCGATTTGTTCAATCTAGGCACAGCAGTAATCCCCTTCAGCTTTACCCATGCCATCCATGGGTGGCATGGTCTGGGACAAGCATATTATGACACAATGATCATGAGAAATTTACACTCTAGTGATTTTGTGAAACACCACATTTCAAGGGTGAGTGTACATAGCCATGGAAAATATGTAAGAATCAACATGGCTTACAATGCAGATCTAATAGCACGATGTCTACAAATGATTATAGCCATCTATGTGGAACCCATTCCGAGTACAGACAGAATACCTGGTCAGGCACCACTTGCCACAGAGCAGGATCCAAATTGAAGCTGAATCAGGGACCCCTGAAACAATAGTGAGCACTAACCTCATGTCACAGCCATGCCGAAGTCTGTAGAATAGCCACAGGTAGCAGGCGATACCCTGAAAAAGAAAAAATAGCGATGTGGTGTAGGTAGTGGGAGATGAACGTGTGTGGAGTTGTCCACATGCCTGATCGTAGAATCTCTTCTAATGGCCGATGAAGAGGAGAGGCAAGGAAGAAGGTAAGATGATGGATTTTATATGAGGAAAAGTGAAAAAGATCATGCTGGGAAGGAGACAAGGAGGAATAGGTCAACTGGATCAAATGTCGAACCCAATTGGTCAGGGTAACTGGGGAAAGATCACGGGAAGAGGAATGTTGCCAAGGGATAAAAGCTGGGAACGAGGACCCCTGAAGGAAGCCGTGTGAGCAATATAACAACAGAGGGCATGGATAGAACAGAGGAATCTATCCAGATCAGGACGAGAGTAGAGATGAGATATATAGGATAGGCAGATAAGGGAAAAGGTGGACTGACCTTCTCGAGCCATAGAGCCAGATAAAGAATAAGGTGGGAGGAGTGGTACGAGGTCCTGGTAACATTGAGGGCAAAAATATCTGACCTACGACACCTGCAGGCCAGGAGGAGGAGGAAATACGCCTTCAAAATAAGGTGAAACAGGCCACGTAGACCTTTTGCGACCCACAACACAAAAGACAAGTTGAGAGGGGAAGATGGACAACAGCAGTAACTGTTGGGTAAGAAGCCCAGAAACCCCAGAGTTAATGCCCAGGAGCGATAAACACTCCATTTGCATTGACAGACGGTCAAAGAAGAGGGGCAAATGGAACAGGCTAAATGTGAAACTGGAACTCCTCACCAAGGATCTGACAAAAGTCAGGCATGAAGATGGAGGATGGAAGGCATGGGATGGAACACTGGTGACTGGGGTTGATGGAGCAGGTTGGGATGGAGGGAAGAGGAGGGACCACTTGCATTGGAACAACTGAGGAAACCAAGGTTGAACAGGCCAGTAAGGAGCAATCAGAATGACTGTGAATGGAGTGGTATGGATGAGGGAGACCACCCAATGAAGTAAATGGATGGGAGGGTAAACATAAAGAAACAGATGAGACCAATCCTGGCTGAAGGCATCGATAGCCAAGGCTCAAGGATGAGGGACCGGGGACCAAAACTGAGGCATCAATATGGGGAGTTTCCAGATGCAGACAGAGCCACCAAAAAATGGAAGGATGCAAAAACCACCCCATGGGATAAACACGATCCAGTCAGGAAAGACAATCGGCTATGAGATTAAAAGCACATAGTGCATGACATGCCATCAAACGAATGTGATGAGTGTGGGCCCAATAAAGAAGATCCATAGTATGAAAACATATGGATCTGGATATAGTGCCACCTTGGTGATTGATATAAATCACCACAGTAGAAATGTCGGAATGGATCATAATCAGGAGTTCGAGAATGAACATTGATGTGAAGAGAACTTTCCTTCACAGACCAACGACCCGAAACCTCCTGGTGATCCACCCAAGCACCCCATCCCTGGAGGGATGAATCCGTGAACAAATGTAAAATGGCCGTGGAGAAGGAAGTGGTACCCACCATCGATGTGTGGACCCTGTTCAACCACCAATGGAGATCATCTACAATGGATAAGGTCAGGGATATAGAAGCATCCAAGGAATCCCAGGCGAGGTTCCATTGATCATGAAGGACCTATTGAAGAAACCGCAATATGGGCTCTGCTCAGGGGTATGAGAGGGGTCATGGAGGACCACATTCCCCAAAGTGATAGAACCTCATGAGCTGTATGTGAAGGAACAGACGGGTATTTCCAAATGGCCTGTTCCATAGAATGGAGGCAGAGAGGAGAAGGTTGGACCCAACTGAGATGGGTGTGGAATAAAACACCCAAATGGATAAGGTATTAGGTAGGAACTGACAAGTGTGACAGGCCAATTACTGTTTGGAATGAGCAAGAAGAAGCCAGTCATTCACATAAACATGTGCAACCCCATGGCATGATTATGTCAAGCAAAGGAGTGGACCACAAGACAAAACATGTATGGTGCCAAGGCTAGACCAAAAGGTAAGGCATAAAACTGATACACAACCCACTGATAGACAAACCAAAGATATGAATGGGAATGCTTTAACATAGGAATGTGTAGGTAAGCATTGGAAATGTCCACCTTGGTCATCCAAAGATCTGGAGAAAATAAAATACCCACCTAAGAAAAAGGTACGTCTCCATGTTAAAGTGAGGAGTGTGAGCATACTGATTGAGATGGCATAAATTGATGACAGGGCGCCAGTCCCCGGTCTTCTTGGGAACCACAAACAGGCAGGAGTAAAATCTCCATGAACCTGGTGGAGCTGGTTCGATAGCTTCTTGTGCGATGAGGGCCTGAACCACCTCTGACAGATGCTAGTGTGTCAAGGGATCCCGAGGAGAAGGGAAGGGAACACTTAATAATGGAGGAAGGAAGAGAAAGGTGATAATGTATCCCTCTGAGAGCACCTTATGAACCCAAACATCTGTAAGAAAAGATCCCCACAGATGAACAAAATTCACGAGACAAGTCCCCACTGGTCCTGAACTGACCACATAGTCACCAGTACTGCTGTTGGCAGATTGTGCATTGTTGAGTAAATCATTGTACCATGGCAATGCGGGAGGGTGGAGCAGGAAGAGGTTGGGAGATAAAGTTTAAAAAGACTGATGACGAACAAGCTGAATCAACAGATAGTGAACGGGAAGACAGGACAAACTCCGAGGGTGGTGAGTGTGATCAAAATCATCTTCAGTCTGGCTCAACTCGAAAGGCTCAGAAGGAAGTGGGCAGAAGTAGGCGAGATTGGTTGGCTCCTATACTGCTCAAACTCCTGGCGAATAAGATATGATATATCCTCCGACAGGTCACTCTGTACCAGAAGTGGTGAGTGCAACTTCAGAATTCATAAGCAGCAAATACAAGAAAGTAATGCTTGAATAAAAATATGAACTCCACAACTGTGAAGTGTAGTAAATAAAGTTAAGAAAAATGAAAAAAATAAACCATTTTAAGGTAACTGAACAATGTAAAAAAGAATGTCTGAACTCAACAGTTGCCAAATGAGAAATGATAATTCAGTAGTGGCACATAGAGGGAGTAACATGCGTCATGTGATAGTAGTGCTCTCCTATTGGTAGAGAGGTGATGCATGATGATTTGCATGAGAAACATGTTTGAACTGTGGAGTTGTGGCATGCATTTCTGTAAAAGCTTGCATATAGAGGGCAGAACAAATGAGAAAAGCTAATCTTGTGAGCGGAGGGAGAGTACCTTATCAGGACTAGCTTTATTAATACACAAGTTACTTTTTTGGTTCTCATCTATATAGTTGATTTACTTCTTATTAATTACCAGTACTACTACAGCATGGAAAAGTTAATTAAAGTCTAACATCAAGCTTTAGGTTACTCAGCTACACTTGTTCAAGATTATTATCTAAATGGTAATGTGCCAGGATTTTTACAGAAAACAAGCCCCCCCCCCCAATACATATTTTTCGAGCTAGCTAAGTTAGTTTTTGTTTCTCCACAGGTAGTTTTTACAGGGACATGATAGTATCTTTTTAAATACAAATATTTGATTGGATTAGACTGTGTTTGTATATTTACTGTTGTATATGATCATACTTTACTGTTACTAGTGTTAGAGACAAAATACTGTACACAAATTAATCTACTATACTACCAACAGCTGTTTCAAACGAAAACTTTATGTTCAATAATTAAGTGCATTGCTCTTAAAATCAAGGATATTTCTATGGTCTGGCCTAGTCTTACTAAAATTGATAATGATCAAGAAAGTTTAGAATTCAACTCTGAATCTGATGAAATCTGAAGATCTGTGGAGGTAGCTAAAGTAAACAAAAAACAGCACTACAAGCACACGCACTATTAATACTCACCATCACAGAACTGCCAGCAGTGCTTAGCCTCAGCCAGAAAAAGGTTTTTTGCAACATGTCCTACTCATACAAGTTTTCTAATGGCACTTAGCATATTAATATACTTGTAGTTTTTACAAATAAAAATGTTTCAGTAATTTTAGCTCAAATGTTTGTCAGATTCAAAGTTCTTAACCAGTTAATATAATTTTATAACAAATTTTAATTCTAAGCTTATAAATTGAATCCTCGAACTTACCTCTATTGAATATTCCTTTCCTTGCAAAATCTTTACTGAGATCAGCATAATTACCTATTATATTCAAGAGCGCTGAACAGTCTCGATCTAGTTAATAGTAGGAACACTACAGTACAAGTACAATAAGTGATTAACTATACAAATTACACTTTTACAGTTTGAACTAAAGTTGGAGTACGTTATTTTGACCAATACAATAGTAATACTGTTGCACCAACATTCCCAGAGTCCAAAACGTAGGTGTAACTTAGACCAATTCAATCTGACTTAAAGGACTGTTTCGTTCCTCTTTTCAAACTTTAAATTACTGAATATTCTTGGAAGTTAGACTGTTGGTGTTAGTTTGAAACTTTGAGTACAGTTCCAGTGTAAGGTCTATCTTATGTTACTAAATTAGGCTTAACGAGTAAGTCTTTACAAACAACTCAATCAAGTAAGGAATTTATATGGGTTTTTAAACACATAATAATAATAATACTAATATTTACCTTTTCTTTTTACAGAATTTTTATATTACTCAACAACTTCTAGCTGCTTACAAAGCCATAAAAAATTAGAGAAATTTAGGCGTCAGCCAATCAATTCTAATAACAGTGTGCCCTCTAGACTTTTGTGTAGAATATTAATAATTAATGATAATGCTTTAATGTTTATTATTTTTTGTTCCAATTCATTAGTTGACCATTTAAATATTAAAAATGTAACACAATAGAGTAAATATTCATTTTCAATATTAAATTAAAGAGAAGCCTGATGATACTGCAAGATTGCCATTTCGTCTCATTTTAAAGGAATAAAACTGATTAAAAAGAGTATTGAGTAAAAACTAATGTATAAATAATGTTACTCCTCGTTTGTTAATTTTCCGTAAAAACTCTTTCCGAAGAAACTTTAGCGATACAAGTCCTTTCTTAAATAAACCTGGTTTATTCTTTCTAAATACAACTTTTCAATACACTTAATTTCCACGGTCACGCTATAACAAACGCTATAATTCACAACGAACGTCTCATGTGCTCAACAATACGTCTCTCTCGGTCCGCAGTTCAATTACACATTACATTGCTGCCGTCACGTCTTGACCGTCTTATATATAAAATAATACCGACATCTAGTAAACGCTAGATCATTCAGGAAAGGACAGGATCCTTCTAGAAGTTCATGACGTGTACTAGCGTCACATGACTTCCGCTGTCGTAACAATAACAAATACAAACTGAAATCAAATTATAGATCAGTCATAATCAATTATCCATAAATTATATACAAATTTGGATATTCAATGAAAGATTCCATGAGTGTTTCAGCTGTATTCTGCTATTCGGTCACCATGCGAGTTTGTAGCAAACGCTATAAAAATAAAATATAATCCATAGCGAGAGAGTCAATGTCAGTTTTAACATAATGTCACGACAGCGGAAGTCACGTGACCCTAGAAGCATGTGCTTTCCTCGGAAAGAATTTATACCGGGAATTAACAAACGACCAGATACGTAACAAATTGGTGTCAGAAGTGGGATGGAAAAAAAAATGGAAACGAGAAGTGGAAAATCAAACTACAGCTTAGCAGATGTGATGGCAGTGTTACGACAGCGGGGGTCACGTGACGCTAGTAACACGTCATATTCTCGAACGTTCATGTCCCTTCCTGAAGTCTCGAGAGGTTACTAGATATGTGGTATTCTTGTATATATAAGACCGGTAAGAACTGACGGCAACAATGTAACTGAACTGCAGACAGAGAGAGACTGACGATTGAGTCTAGCACGTGAGTCGTTCGTTGTTAATTATAGCGTGACTGTGGAAATCAAGTGCATTGCAAAGTTATATTCAGAAAGAATAAACCAGTTTTATTTAAGAAAAGACTTGTGTCGCTAAAGTTTCATCAGAAAGAAATTATACGGGAAATTAACTAACGACCGGAGGTGTAACAAATTGGTGTCAGAAGTGGGATAAAAAAATGGAAACGAGAAGCGGCAAATCAAACTACAGCTTAGAAGATTTGATGGCAGCAATACAAGAGCAGCAAAACGGGAAAATAAACAAGAAGAGAGACAACAGCAGCTGTTGGAGGAAAAAGAAAAGAAACAAGAAGGACGAGAAAATAAACAAGAAGAGAGATTACAACAGTGGCAAGAAAATCTGCAACAGTGGCAGCTCGAACAGCAAAATAAACAAGAGAGATTTACAGCAGCTGTTGGAGGAAAAAGAAAAGAAACAAAAAGAGAGATTACAACAGCTATTGGAGGAGAAAGAACACAAACAAGAAAAGAGACTACAGCAGTGGCAACTGGAACAAGAAAGGAAACAAGAAGTACAAACGGAAAACATCAGTAAATTTAGAGCGAATTAAATACATTAAAGGATGATTTATTGTCTTTTACACAAGGAGGACACATTAACTATCAACTTAATCAGCCCGAGACAACGGCAAGCCCCTTCCAGACCCCGCAGCTAAACCCTAATACAGACATCTTCAGTCCTGTTAGAAGTCACATCCCAGATATGAATGTCAGCAACAGGGGTGATCCAGTACGAAGGAAGCCACAGGAATTCGATGGGCAGGCACCGTGTGAAGCATATAGAGCACAATTTGAGCTACTGGCAGAAATGAATGGATGGACAGAGGAGCAGAAAGCAGTATATCTGGCAACGAGCTTGAAGGGACAACCACTGGAAATACTTGGACAGTTGTCAGCAGACGACAGACACAACTATAGAGCACTGGTAGCAACTCTAGAACTCGGGTACGGAACTCAAAATCAGTCAGAAGTCCACAAAGCTAGGTTTAGGACGAGAGTCCGTGCTAAAGGGGAGAGTCTGCAAGAGCTGGCACAAGTCTTGGAAAGTATGGCACACAAGGCCTACCCAACTGTACCACCCGATCTCCTCAAGTTGTTGCTGAGAGATCAGTTTGTAGATGCTTTGGACAGTCCACAACTGATGATATGAGGTATTGCATATGCCTCAGGCCACTTGGTGAAATAATCCATCACCATACAAATGTACCTTTTCCAGCACGAGTTTGGGGCAAAGGACCAGCAATGTTAATGGCTACTCTTTCCATTGGTGTGCTAACTTGATATAACTTCATTGGAGCACGTCCCTTATGCTTGGGTTCCCTTTTAGCACAACATGTACTGCATGTCCTGCACCATTCTTCCACATCTTGCCTCATACCTATCCAGTAAAATCTCTTAACTCCGAGATGTCCTCCTGTTAAACTATCATGGGATTGACGCAGCACAACTTCCCGTAACTTTCTCGTTATGTCAGGTCGCCACTTTCCCCATCTACAGTTTCCCATCTTTGGACAAGAATACCATCTTCCAGCTTCAACTGGTCCCATTGTACCCAATAGTTCTTCTTAAGCTTGACACCTTCTCCCAAGCAAGGCACAAAACACTTGGTTTTAGAAAATCAATTATTGGCTTCAAATCTTGGTATTTCTCCTGCTCTGCTTTAATATCTATACCTGGTTGCACTTCACCATCATCAACTCCTTCAGTCACTCTGACTTCAGCTTGATGGCACCAAGTTAGTTCAACTTCCCTTT